ATCGGCTTGCTTTAATTTTAATTTTATTTCAATTTTTAATTTTTTTTTGTCGTGCTGTGATGACGTCATATGCGCGCTTTCGTCGAGCGTGATTTTGTCCTCCGCGGTTTTGACGGGTGACGCTCCCCTACTCCCTACAACACTCTTCGAAAGGTTTTATGCATCCCTTAGCTTAAGAAACAATAACTCTTCCAGATTGAATTGAAGCAAGAAAGTGAGCAATGAAGGTTAACTTGTTGCGTAGTCAAAACTGAGAGACAAAATAAAAAGACACAAGATGTGTAATTTTATTATTTCTTTCTAAATAACATGTTATTGGTGAAACCTAGCTACTAGAAGATACGATGAAGTACCACCCAAAATATACAAGTTCTAGTAGAACCAGAAGAGAATATTCAGAATAGCAATAAAATGAGAGACATTTGAAGAAACAAAAGATATATTCATGAAGTGTTGAGACAGAGCTAGCTCAATGGTTAAACGTATTATTAAAACTAGCCATATAGGCCACCTGTTCCTCCTAGGTTTTGGTACAATTTGTTATTTCAGTATGATGATGTTTATGTAATATATTTAGAGGTTTAGTGTTCAATGATTTAGATCAGGGGTCTCCAACCTTAAGACTTGTGGACTTCAACTTGCAGAGAACTTTGGGAGTTGAAGTCCACAAGTCTTAAAGCTGCCAAGGTTGGAGACCCCTGATTTAGATGACTTAGAGTACTGAAGATACATAAGAGACAGAAAAAGTGGATATTTGATAACTATAATTTCTTCCAGCTTATGAAGAAGACAATTTTGATGAACCTCAATATGCAGATCCAGAAGCAGCAGAGATAAAGACAGGAAAAAACCACGGGGCTGCTGATCAGTACGGCGATAATTCCATTCACAAACATCGGAATATCTTGTCGGTTACCAAAAAGAGGCAGAAGAAAGATGAGCAGAGATATAAAACCAAAGTAGAAAGTTATCCTACACCAAGGGCTTCCCATCTGATATTCAGCTCAAACTTTCCAAATCTCCACGATCAGGAAAGGAATGTCCACAGATCAACCACCAAAAGGAAAGTAGAAGGCCAGGATTTACAGACCGACAAAAGACCCAAGGTAACTAAGGGACATGGGAATTCAACAAGAGAAGCCAGCCAACCTCAGTTAGGCTTTAATGCAACCAGAAACCAAAAGGCATTATTGGATGCCATCCAAACCGGAAGGAACCCCTCCAAAATTGAAGAAACTGGCAAGAGAACCCCTCGACAGCAGCCTGAGATGCATGAGGACCAATGGCTTAATCAAGTAGATACCTACATAGCCCAACATAAAGCCGCAGATGCTGCTAATGCCATTATTGGCGGGGGGGATTTAGATGCCAAGCAGCAAGTCAGGTTGACGCATTCTTCCCACGAGGCAACCCGAAAGGAAGAGCATGTTACAATAGTGGAAGAAGAAGAAAATGAAGATGAAGGAGAAGAAAACGAAGATGACTTCTTTGGTGCTCCTCCTCTTCTCTATGACCCCGTGGTGAATTGGAAGCAGACTTTCAAGGCCAGCAATGTAGACTTCCAAGCGTTACGGTCAGACTGGATTGATTTGAAGTGTAACACTTCCGGGAACCTGCTCTTAAAAGAGAAGGAAGCCATCCAAGTGGTTCAGGTGTTCCTTAAAAAACTGAACCAGAAGACCAAAGGGTAAGATGGGGAGGGGTCTTGAAGCCCCTCTGATCTTTACAGAAGGAGAACTGTAGTATGCAACATAAAATGGGATTTCTTTATGCATCATATAGGCCAGTGATGGGGAACCTTTTCTCCCTTGGGTTCCAAAAGCATGCCCCCTGTGCATGCGTGCATAACCCCCCCCAGCTGCCCTGCACATGTGCGCATGGCTTTCTAGGATCCTGGGTAGGCTGAAAAACAGCCCAACACGCAAACCGGAAGTTCAGGAATGGACTTATGGGTTGCCCGTTGGGCCGTTTTTCTTTCTCCGGATGCTTCAGGAGGCTTCCAGAGTGTGAAAAACAGCCGAAAATCAAGGCCGAAAATCGGCTGGCCAGCGTGCGCATGCATGCTGGAGCTGGCAGGGCAACGCTTTGCGTGCCCTCAGAAATGGCTCTGGGTGCCACCCATGGCACACATACCATGGGTTCGCCATCATGGATATAGGCCTAAATAGGTAGTTAGGAGTAACTCCGGATCTCAATGTGATGATGTTCTATTAAAGTCTTAGGAGGTAAGGCATGTAGAGAAGTTGGATCCCTCTCTCACTCACTCAATTTCAAACAAACACAAACACAGAAGTTGGATTGGATATTTTTTCCAATGGCTTGAAAGCAGCTCCTCTGCCATACCC